AAAGTGGTGGCGGTTTATTGCTCTTTCTCATGCGCCGACTCCATGGGGAGTAGTTTTTGCTTGGTAAATATTTTTGACTTTTTTGTAGTCATCCGGTGTGCATCCAACTCGTTGGTTGCTGGAGATTTTTTATTTTGGGCTTTTCTGATAGCCATCTAGCTTGTTGATCGCTAGAGATTCTTTGTTTCTGGCTTTTTTCATAGCCATCCGAGCTTGTCGGGGATTCTTTGATTTTTTACTTTTTCCCATAGCCATCCAGCTCGTTGATTGCTGGGGATTCTTTTTTTTTTTCTGGCTTTTCTCATAGCCATCTGAGCTTGTCGGGGATTATTTGATTTTTGCCTTTTTTTGATAGCCATCCAACTCGTTGATTGCTGAGAATTCTTTGTTTTTTTTGGCTTTTTCTGTAGTCATCCGACTTGTTGATTGCTGGGGATTTTTTATAAATACCTCTGAAGAAGGCAAGAATCCATTGCGATTTTGTTGATTTCTAACAGTGCCTCTAAGTAGGCAGATACTTCATCGGAAGTAAAGACTTTTGGTTGCATTGTTTTGCCTCTGACTAGGCTGATATTCCCTTCGGGGATGTTGACTTTTGCTTGCCAGGTCTTGCCTATGCATAGACGAACAACTCATTGAGGATATGAATTTGAAGATTGCCTTTACAGTAGACTCACTGGGGGTATGTTCTTTTCTTTTTGGCAACCCACCAGGGAATTGGTTGACTCCCTGGGGATCTAATTTTGGTCGCCCTCTGGGGAATGGAGTTTTGACTCCTTGTTTGATGTTGATGAGAGTTGTCTTTGTCAAGCTCTTATTCCGTTGGAGGAATGAAATTTTCGATTTTTCTACCTTTGAGTAGGCGGATGCTTCAAATAGAGGTGAAGACTTCGCGCTTGCGCTGCTTTGCCTCTGAATAGGCTGATATCCCATTCTGGGAATGTTGGCTCTTTGTTCGCCAGGTCTTGCCTACGCATAGGCAAATGACTCTTCTGAGGATGTGAGTAAGGAGTTTTCCTTTATTGTAGGTGTTCGAAAAAGAGGTTGAGATCAAGAGGGGGGGGTGAATTGATCTTTTAAAGATTTTCGCAATTTTCTTGCTACAGATTATCTATTTCAAAGATGAAGAGTTTTGACCAATTCTTGAACCAAGAAAATCAAGCTATTCAAAGTAAGACAGCAGCAGAATTAAAGAGAGTAAGGTTTAGAGAAATACAACCAAGATTTATATTGGTTCACCCAATCCCAGGGCTACGTCCAGTTCTGAGCCAAATTCCAGTTGAGTTCCACTAGATTGAATGTTTTAAAGATTACAAATTCCAATCACACACCCAATCTACTCTAAGAACCAAATTCCATTTCTTGCACCTAAACCTTCACCCAAGAACCAAGTTTCAGTTCTTGAACCAACCTGCAGCCAAATTCCAGCTACAGAACTAGTGCCCAACAATTCCAGACACCCACAATACAGTAAAGAAATGTAAAGAAACAAAGAGAAGAAACTAGAACAAGCAAACCCGGATTATGCAACTCCTGCAGATTTAGTTTCTTCACCAAAAGAATGCAAAAATTGCCTCAAGAAAGAACTTTCAAAAACACCACAAAACTTGCGCGATTCTTTCTTGAAAATAGCTCTTATGATTGCTCAAAAAGTGTATTTTAAAATGTTGAATCAAATCTATTTATATAGAGATTTATTTCAATCGATGGTTTAATTAATTTGTTAAAACAATCTTTTTATCTCGTTAAAATGTTCTTGATTATTTTCCAAATTTATTTTAACCGATGCGACATCAGTTTCAATCGATTAAAACAATTAACAAAAAGTCCCTTAAGTTGTTTTAATCGATTATTTCGCAGTTTAATCGATTAAAATTCTACCAAAAAGTTTTACAAAACTTTCTAAGTGATTTTAACTGATAACAACTAGTTTTAATCGATTAAAACAGTTAGCAAAAAGTTCCTTAAGTTGTTTTAATCGATTAATTCGATTTTACATTGATTAAAATTCCGACAGAACATCTTTCAAAACATCTCAAGTTATTTTAATCAATTATTTTGAATTTACATCGATTAAATTTCTGACAGAACATCTTTCAAAACATCTCAAGTTGTTTTAATCGATTAATTAGAGATTGTATCGATTAAAATACTAATAGAACACTTTTTAAAATATTTCAAGTGCTTTTAATCGATTATTTCGAAGTTATATCGATTAAAATACTGTCAGAACACTTTTTAAAACATCTTAAGTGATTTTAATCTATTATTTCAAATCTATATTAGTTAAAAGACTGACAGAAGGTTTTCAAAAACTCCTTTAATGAAAATAATCAATTATTTTGAAAGTGTATCGATTAAAACAGTTCCAATAAATGTTTTAAATGATTTTAATCGATTATTTTGAAATTCTATCAGTTAAAAATATGTCATGTAAGTTTTAAGAACATTTTAATTGATAAAACTCATATAATATTAGTTAAAACAATTTCTTAAAAACAATTTAACCGATTGCTTTTTTTTTTTTTTCAACGTGTGAACATTTTAACATGATTTTTAATTATTTTAAATGGTGATTTTAACGTGATTTAATGATTTTAAATGGTTTACTTCCTGTGCACAATGACAAGATTGGAATCCATTCTCTTAAGAAACATATGTGGTTAGCAATTGTGTCAATCATCACTTAACTTTAGAGTTTTATTTTCATGAATATTTATTGCAAATATTTTTATATTATCCTATGCATAATTTTAAAATAATTATTATAACTTGATTACGCATAATAATTTATAATTAAATGACTTTTACCATTTAATTTTTAATTAACTTCTTAAAAATAAACATCATAACCTTATCCCTGGTGCTAATTTTTTCTTCCCTACTCATTAAATAACAATATTTAATAGTATTATTAATTCCTATTACAATAATTAGTAAGAAAACCTTTAAACCCTCTTCAACATTTTCTCTGCAGTTGAAGAAATAGAAAACGAATTATAAGCATTTGGTATTAGATGGTTTTTCTGTTCACAATGTATTGCAATTTCAATTCTTTTGTATAGGTTTGCTAACCCTTTAGCCTCCACATTGAACCCACATAAATAACAGTTTCTGCAATGCGAACAAACACTGTTTCCTCACACTCTTAAACGTGTGCTACTTAGTATGTGTTTGTTTTCCCATTATATTCTCTAAAATCAGAATCAAGTTGAGATACCTTAACATGATTTTAGGTAAAATTCACATATTTCATTCAACATCAAGTAGTTGACTATGAGTTGAAATAACTTTATATAGTTTTTGCTTGGGACTATACTGAGTTTTATTACTAACTTGTTTTTATAATGAAAACATCGAAACATAAATCGCATCACTTTAAAATCAATCTTAATCAAAATCAATTTTATTCGAAAATCTATAAACCCGTTGTCTTTTATTTTGAGTGTTTGTGTGGCACTAGTACCAGCAAGAGCATTGTTGAGAACTTGGGGACGCGTTGGTGCCTGACGAGTTCCACTGTTAAAAAGTAGCTAAAATTGTTCTGTTTTTAGTTTTTTAGTTTTTGCTGCACAAATCTGCTAGAGGTATTTCTACCTCTTCAGTTGTGCTCTCTCTTTCTCCAAAATTTGGAAGGAGGTTTAGTGATTGGTCAGTGTCATAGTTGAAAGGCTGCTTAAACTCTAGCATTGGGGTTGGGGTTTCATCATTCAAAGTAAAGCTCGCGAGCTCTCCCCTTGTTTAGTGCTTGTAACTCTCTGCAAGGTAACATTTGCGATCAAACACACTCAGAAATTCTATAATTTTAAGTAATCAAATTACTCTAATAAATTTCCTGAAATTTCAATCTTTTAAAAAATTTCGATCCAAACAACATATTTTGTCATAAAGCATTTTACATTCTCAATAAAAATGAATTTTCTTCTAAAATTTTTCCATCCAAACACATTATTAGAAGCTTTTTATGGATTTCAAGAAGAGTAAAAAAACCCTTTTGATTTGGGTGAGGTATGGTTCCTCTATGGGATTTTATTTTCTTAGACCCTTCCTTTGATTTTTCCTAAAAGGTATATATGATCAAATTATCTGCTTGGAAATACAAGTGAGTCTAAGTCTCATGTTATGTAAGAATAAAAAAAGTGAACAATATATAAAGAAGTATGACTCATTATCCAATGCCTTAAGGTTTTAGGTTGAGAGTGATATCAATCTTTTATATGAGTTATGCATGTCTCATTGAATCCAGAGTGATCTTTATTTTAAAAGTCTTTCTGAGAAAGTGAGTCAAGTAATATATCCTGTTAGAGTGAATAATGATATATGAAAGGACTAATACCAACGTATGGAACGACTAATACCAATGTGAAAGAATTCACATTTGAGTAATGATTTATTTTGAACCAATTTATCTAATGTTCATCCGTCATATGTTTTTGTCCCAGCATAAGTTATTCTGATTTGCAGTTTCTTTCAGTATGAGTGATGATTTGCGACTTGTAAAATATAATTGTGTAAAAAAGAGCGCTGAAGTATCAAATATTAAGATCGAAAACCCAATCAGCAATTCAATAAATTATTTATGCTAAATGTTGTGTGATACTATCGCTTATATTTTTATTCTAGGTTCTTATAATTTTCCTGTGCGGTGTGCGTGGTTTACATTTGTGTTCGTGTTAAGTTTGGTTGAAGTCAGTCTAGTAATGTTTAAATATTGTTGTCTGATGCAAAGTTGCTGCTAAGCTAGCTTGGCAATCATTTGGCTGTCATGGACGTAGCACATTGCTATTTACAGGGGAATGCTGATGCTGTGGAGTTTTGTCCGTATGATTGCTACCATAATGTTTTAGCGGTATCCACTTACACATTACAAAAAAGTTGTCAGCCCAGTCGACATGGAAGCATTTCTCTCTTCAATGTTGATGTGGAGACAGGCCACCTTGACTTGGTTTTTAACGAGGAAACTGCTGGGATTTTTGACATAAAAGTGGAATCCACTTGGAGGGCATGTGAATCCTTTTCTAGCTCAAGCATATGCTAATGGATACTTACTTGAGAATTAAAATGCTGGAGGGTTGCTGTAATGGAGTGGAAGGTATGGATTTAGTCCTTGATTCATTTCTATAAAGCACTACTTTCGGTATGAAATGTCAATCTTGATAACATTTACAATTTATAAAAATAAAAAAGTTGTCAAATTTTATATTCCAAGTAAACTTGTGAAATTCATACCAACTCAGGCTGAAATTTTACCAAATATAAAAAGTATTCGGACTAATATGCTAATCATAAAAATAAACATACATCTAACAAGTAAATGACTAAAGGTTACAATTACCAGTAGCACACAAGAGTGCAGCATATATACTGACATTAGGTTACAATTAATAATTCATATATCCAAAATTGGAATTAGAAAATCTCGATAACATCGCCATCTTAAATGATTATCTTTTTCTCTATAAACATCAAAATGACTCAAGTCACTCTACTCAGTCTTTTTATCTAACCTTAAATCAACGGACAACAACCTATAATTTTCAGGGTTTCTGTCAAAGATTTAACTTGAATCTGAACTGGATTCCATGATAACTAACTCAAATGCAAATTACTCAAACCACTGACAAAAAATAAAAAACTAGAGTACCCCAGTGCTATAAGGCTTCTGGCTATACAAAGGTATGGTGGTGGAGGTTTCTTGCAACGCAACCATACCCTAGCATATGCAAAGTGGCTGGTTCCGAATTCAAACTCATGTTCAACTGGTCACAGAGAAGCAACTTTATCTTAGCATCAAGGCTTGCTGATATGAATCACAAGGAGTGATTTAGGATTTTTAAGGTTAGAATCTTGTAGGAAATTTAGTAATTTAGTGATAAGGTGGAAGGAAAGAATCACTCTTTCCAAGGAAGGCAACACACAAAGGATGTGAAAGTCCTTTGATACAACCAAATATTCTTGAATCACTCAAGAACTTAGGAGAATCACTCTCACTAAGATAAAAGAGATAAACTCTAATATTTCTAAAAATAAACTCAACTTGTTATTTCTGATAAAAATGGTTCAGCTTATAAAGAAGTTTTGCCATCAAAGTTACAAATATTCATTAAAGGAAAATAAATATTAATAATGATTTATTAACTTAGGAATTGAAAACTACTTAATGATTGATTGTAACTGAAATTGTAGCATCCAAAAGTCAATCAGCTATGCACCTCTTGGTCTCTCAAAGACTGATAACTAAATTTTCAATTGGGCCCTTATTACAACTTAAAACAAAATCAAACTAAAGCCCATTAATTGATTAATTCAAAACATAATTTGGTCAACCAACAATATTTGTTGAAGAGCTTCCTTTGTTTCCCTTGCTCTAGCCCTTATCATAGGTCATGTTCACATCACTTGCCCTCTACTCTAACCAATACTATTAAAAATTAGATAAATCGGATAGTTGTTTTATAGAGTTGTTTGACTTAAGGTATTTGTGCATTCAATCAAGAAGCAACACCATTGTATCTACTTAAGTAAAATTAATACAAACTAACCAGATTTCAACGCAATATCAACTTATTCAAGAAAATCAAACACAATGGAATCAAAACCAAAAATTTTGAGTATACCATCTTTGAATTCGAGTTTCACTTCAAACCATGTCCTGAACAAGAGCATACTCTGAAACTAATTCGAATACTAATTCCTATTCCACCCTAAAAGTATTGAAAAGGTAAGCTTGATTACTAAAAAAAATTTCCACCTAAAATACAATAAATTTGATACTAATTAACATTGTATCCAAGTCAAGCATATCATATCACTTTGATCTACAGAGAGACTGTTTCAATGTCTTACATGCTAGTTGGAAAGAGAGTATGTAAGAGAAACTATATATTAACAAATCTCAATCACTATACCAATTTAGTAACAACAACAACAACTTCAATTCCTCCGCCGCACATTTCTACAACTTCGCAAAGATACTACCCCAGTACATTAATAAAAGAGGTTACACCAAAAAATTGTAGCACACCAAACTGAGGAGAAATTTAAACATCACAATAATAAAAACACAACTACACAAGCACAATTGCATAAATATTGGAAAACTGCATGGTTCAATCCCACCTACATGCATGATTGAGCTTACTTGTTAAATGAAACTTTCATTGGTTTTCCAGATCCAGTCCTTGTGTGCAGTATTTTGCTCCTCTTCTTTTCTAATCTATCTTCCAACTGCAAATATATCAAGCTCATTTGATTTAAACACAAATAATATCCCTTGGTATCAAAACTGAAAGTAGCTCAAAGTTGCTATTCTTTAATTTTCAACAACTCAAAATATAACAAACATCACATTTAGAAACAAAATACCCCTCTTCCCCCACCACTACCACAAGAAGATAAATTCTACAGTGCAAACCTTGTGTTGTCACACAATTAAGACAGTGATTCTTACCAGGGATTGTGCCTCTTGAGGATTCTCTAGTAAACTCCCCAGAATGTTACTGAGTTCTGGATCTTTATCATAATCTTTTTTGACCTACCTGTATGCGGTCCTTGATCTGAATATCCATCGTCATCATCTTCACCTTCTTGTGCTTCTTCTTCATCAATGTCCTTTTCATCACTTCTCGGATACATTCCTTGCGCCAAAAGCCCACCTTCGACATTGCCCTGAAGTTCCAGATCTTCCTTAATGATGTCTATATTGAAGTCCATAGCATTCTGACTTTTAGCACTACAAAAGAATGTCTTTGTTCTGGCATTGTTTGGGACTATCCGCAGAGGTGTTGAAGATGGCACAAAGTGTTTGTCATGAGAAAAAGGTTTGGAGCATGTAATGGTGGTGCAAGAAGGAAGGAAAGCAAAAGGATGTAAGACAATCATGGATTGTATGAGAAACTTGTGAGGAACGAGTGTATTGTTGTTGACTAGCTCTATTCACCTGCTGCACCAATTACCAGAAGTGAATATATAACACAAATTCAAAGTAGCCCCAATTTGCCAAGCTCAATATAACCACCAATAAAATTTCAATTTGGACCTCTATTAACCTGAAGCATAATGTTACCAGAAACGGATAACAACAACAAAAGTCTTAGCCCACGCTTAACCAAATTTTCAGAGAGATTACCATGAAATCCCTGTTAACAGCTGTAACTCAGTACTACCAATTTGCCAAGCTCAATATTAACATGAATAAATTTTCAATTGAAACAAGAACTTTATCTACTTGTTACAAGATTTCATATTTCAATACTACGAGTATATGTTTACAACTGCAGTAAGTAACCCCCCAAAATCTAGACTTACATAAAAAAAAATTCAAATAGTTCGCTTCTAATTCATTTTCATAGAAAATGCAATTACATTTAACACCGTGTGTTCCTCTCTCTCCCTCATTTCGTCAATAATTTCAAATCAAATCCAAGTTACGATTTCATTTCCCACTCGAGTTCAGATTCTTCGGGAGACCAAACACCTTTGCCCTCCAGACACTAAAACTCCATTTTCATACAATTTGCATTTATTCGTCAAAACAACAAACGCAACTTCAAAATTTCAAGAAACTCAGGGTAACAGCATCGCAAACCAATAAAACTGGTTTAGCAATTACTAACCTAAACCTAAAAGTTTAAAACCCTGCATTTTTATTCTAAATCAAATTTCCTGGAAGAAATCAAATGCCTTATTCCTTACCTATTTCTCCAAGCCTTGACCTATCTTCCCCTCCTCTTTGTTTCATTGTCAAGATTTTCACTTCCAATGTTCTAAAGTTAGATCAGTAAAAATATTTTTTACATTCCAATAGTTTAACCGTGATTAGACCAAAATTAAATCGGTAATAATGAAATCCATTTTCTATATGTTAATGTCATCTATGATTTAATTTGATTTAAATAACTAATGCTTGCAATGTAATAAGGTGAAGCATTGGTTCACTAGACACGCAGGGATCAAACGCAGTCGAAGCTCAGGAAATAAGCACGTAATTTTTTTTTTTTTTTTTTTTTTTTTCGTTTTCAGTAGTGAATTTGTACTTTACACAGGCAAATTAGAAGGATGAAATTTAACACGGACTAATATTCACACATTCACTATTTCATTTATCCCTGATTTTGGTTTCAAAACGAAACATATGAACAAATCTTACAATTTTGCGTGCCATCTTGAAGAAATAAAAAGAGAAAGTGTGGTGAAAAATACAAACTTTCTGAGGAAACGCTGAGAGTCTTATCCAGAGTGTACTCATCAAGTTGGTAGCTTTTGTACGCTCACTGGGTGCTCAGTGCAGAAGAAGCAAGGAGCATGGATGAGAAACACAAATGTGTTGGAGATAGCACAAAATTCTACTCTACCTAAAAAACATTTTAAAAAAAGATTCAAAGCTCTTTCAACATTCTTTCATGTCTAGGATTGAAAATTTTATGATTTTCATAAAAACAAAAAATATTAAACTTGAATTATTTTTAGAATTTGATTATTTACATTTCATTTAAATAAAAAAAGTTAAAATTAAAATTTGTATTTAAATAAAATATTTTAATTATCATTAAATACAAAAATTGTAAAATAATTTTTGTAAATAAAAAATATATATAATTATTACATACTTTAATAATATCCATCAAAAAGTAATATAATCCATATTATATAAAAACCTTGATAAAAGTCATTTAATAAATAATTTTAATCATAAAATAATATTGACTAAAATCTACACTTTATAATTATTATAAAAAAGTAGTTTTATTAGTGTAAAAAAAAAATACTAACATTGAAAAAAAAACCTTTGTCAATAAAATTCTCATTAAGATTAATAAAATAAAAGTATTTCTAACATGCATTCTTATCAAAGTCAATAAAAAATTAAATAAACTAAAAATAATATCAATTGATATAAAAAATATGTTTCATATATATTCTAATTTAACTTAATTTAAAAATAACATTTATTGAAGATAATAATAATGATTCTAATAAAAAAAATTATGAAATAAAAAATAAATAGAATATCCTATTTTGTAATAAAAAATTAATTAAAACACGAATAATTATATTACTATTTGAAGTTTAAAATAAAATAATAACTAAATTTTAAGAATAAATTATGAAGAAAAACAACTCTTTAAAAATTTTTAAATCCATATTAAATTGAGTTTTTATAATTTTTTAGTGAGATTTAGTTTTATTGTTAGAAAACAATTTTATAATTTTGAAGAATTAAAAATGAATGACTTAATATATTATTGATGAAGATATTAATATTATAAATAAAAATAAAAATTAAGAAGAGAAAATATTTTTATTAATTTTCATTTTTAATTTATAAAAATTAAAAACAGTTTTAATAAAAACTGTATTATATTTTAACCTAACACATGGATAATGGGCAATGGTTAAGGAAGGGTATTATAGTCATAGCCCGTTCCAAAACCCTAGCTTCTCCCACCCTCATATTTACCTGTTTTTTACTCCCGTTCCCACCACCATTGCTTATTGCTGCTGCTGCAATTCTCTCCCTTCTCTTCAGATTCCAGATTCCATTAGCAATGGTAAGAAGTCTCTGCTTCTCTTCTACCTTTATCTCCCTCACATGCTTATTTTCTTTTAGTTTAATATGTGTTTTCTCTTTTTTGCATTAGGCTTCCGAGAAGAAACTATCGAATCCCATGCGGGAAATCAAGGTCCAGAAGCTCGTCCTCAACATCTCTGTCGGTGAGAGTGGCGATCGTCTCACCAGAGCCGCAAAGGTTTTTTTTTTTTTTTCGTTTATTTTCTTCTAATTTCTTCAGTCGTTATTTTTGCTTTATTTTATTTTTGTTTTAAACTTTTTTTTTTTCTAATTGTTCTTCTTCTTCATGTTACAGGTGTTGGAGCAGCTTAGTGGCCAAACCCCAGTGTTTTCCAAAGGTGTTTTTCTTTTTTCTTCTTCTCATTAACAGGGCTAGTTAAACCTGATTTAATATAGTGTTACAGTGGTCTTTGGTTTAATTTAACTATATTAGTATTCTTTCAGTTTTTCTAACTGTAATATGTGCATGATTGAATTGAATTACTCTATTTTTTGGGAAGTAGTTGTAGTTTTCAGAATTCGAAATAAATTTGGATTACTCTGGCTAATCTGGGAATATCAAATAGAATACCACTATTATACTCTGCCAGTTATGCTCAGTTTGGCATTTTTTTAGGAGTGAATATGGTTTACGTGAACATAGATTTATATGATGTTATTCCCATGGGTTTTGTCTTGCCCCCTGGATTTTGTATTCTTCTTTTTGGTTAAGGCATTTTCATGTTGAAGCAAATGAAAAATGAAACTGACCTAGTTAGGATAGCAGTTTCATAGTGATGCCTTGCATGACAGTTTATTTTTTTTTTAAAAAGGACTGTACGTTTTGAAAGATGAGTGACGTTGTTGGGCTTGGGTTTTATGTTATTCTTGTACACTCTTCCCACTGTGTGTGAATTTGCTTAGGTGATTATTTTGTGACTCGTGTACTCGTTGAGGTTCACGATGTTACATTAAATCACCCTGGCTAACAGTGCAGAATGCTAATAAATAAATTCCCTTCGAAAGCTTGGGTCATAATATGAATGTTTGAGTCTGGGAACATATTAGAAAGCTGTTTGCTACTGCATTTTTGTGTCTGCAATGTGTCAATACTAGGCTTTTTGGATCTCCATGTGGTGGATGCAAGCTGCATTTGCCTGCAATAATTAGGATTGTGACAAAACTGCGGCTGTTGTTTGCTGCTGTTTGTAAGTTACAACATAAAACCTGTTTGGCAACTCAAACAACAATGGTTGTGATTGGGGATATTTTGGGCTCTATAATTGATTCATCAGCTGGGGTCCATTCATTGGCCACCTGTCTGCATCTTGGAGCCAAAATGAAAATACAATGAAAATACTAGAAGAAGATCCTTGAAACCCCTGGGTTGTTCTCAAGACACAATATCTGGTGAAATGCTTGGGTTAATATACCTTAGTCTCCTAGAATTATATTTAGTAAAGGGTCTTTCAATTTCTGAAACCAAGTAACAATATTAAGGATATTTTGGGTATTCAAGATGACATTGCAGCAACAAGCTGTATTCTTCTGCAATTTTGTCTCAAACGAACTGTTGTGAATAGGGATATTTTGGCTCTATAACTGAGTCACCAGCAGGGGCTCATTTATAGTCCACCTGTCTGCCGCATCGAGCCAAAATGAAAATACCAGAAGAAGATCCTTGAAACCTGTGGGTTGTTCTCAAGACACAATATCTGGTGAAATGCTTGGGTTGATATTCTTTAGCCACCTAGAATTGTAGTTAGTAAAGGGTATTTCAGTTTCTGAAACAAGTTATAATATTAAGGATATTTTGGTATCCAAGAGGGCATTGCAACAACAATCTGTATTCATCTGCAATTTTACCCTTGTTTGGGGTCTCAAACAAACTGTTCCGAATATGGATATTTTGGCTCTATAATTGAGTCACCAGCAGGGGCTCATTCATTTCCACCTGTCTGCCGCATGGAGCCAAAATAAAAATACCAGAAGATCCTTGAAACCTTGGTGGTTTTCAAGATACTAAAGCTGGTTCAATGTTTTGATTGATACTAAAGGTCTCAACAATTTGTATTGAACAAATGATATTTTAATTTCTAAGAACTAACAAAAAATTTTAACTTATCATCTTTGATATTTCCCTTCTGAGTTTTGATTTTGTATTTTTTTCCCTACGAAACATGTTTGAAGGTTATGGGATGGTTATTCCTGAAGAGTAATGTACCTACAAGCAACATCTTAGAGCTAGTATAAGTAGTATTAGACTCACCTTGCCTCCTCGTCCTCTAAGAATGCAACAATTTTTCTAGTTGCAACTGGCTGATCTCTGATTGTTCATTTGTTCTTTGTGGTTGTTGACAGCAAGATACACTGTCCGATCTTTTGGTATCAGAAGAAATGAAAAGATTGCGTGCTATGTAACTGTTAGAGGTGACAAGGCAATGCAGCTTCTGGAGAGTGGATTAAAGGTGAAGGAATATGAACTTCTGCGAAGAAACTTCAGTGATACCGGGTGCTTTGGTTTTGGTATTCAGGAGCATATTGACTTGGGAATCAAGTAAGCTGGAAATATCTGAGGTTTTTATTGAATTAATGTTTTTTTGTTGTTATACTTATTTTGCTGTACGTGAAGCTGTTATTAACAGATATAAAACTGCATAACACTTTTTATTCTGACTCATCAATTAATTATTCAATAATTGTACAATGGAAAATGGATTATGCTGTAGGCCTGTAGAGGTTTGTTGTATTCAGTTCCTAACTGTTATATAGTGGTTGGTTTTGCATACAGTCTCTAACCTGAGAAATTGAAATTCAATCTTTGATTGTCTTCATGAATTATTTTCTTTGTTATGTCTACTTTTCCACTCTCCTATCTGTATGATGTTATTGTAATTTATTTTTAATTCTAACTATAATAATCATAAAAAATGTTCTATTCACGTTGAACGGGGTTTTTCCTCAGGTACGATCCCTCAACTGGTATTTATGGAATGGACTTTTTTGTCATTTTGGAGCGCCCTGGTTATCGTGTTGGCCGCCGCCGTCGTTGCAAGTCTCGTGTTGGGATCCAACATCGAGTTACCAAGGAAGATGCTATGAAGTGGTTCCAGGTGAAATACGAAGGTGTGATCCTCAACAAGTCACAGGCAATTGTTTAATTAAATTAGCTAGTTGTTTTGAGGAGTTTACAAGTTTTTTATTTTAAATTCGAAGCTGTCATTTTAGTTAGTAAGCTCAAGTCTCTGGAATATTAATGCGACTGGCCATATGATCTGTTTAGAAGTATTTGTTTTGACATCCATATTAATATTTCTCTGATCCTTAAGTGGATGTTCTATATTTTTTCATTTCCTCAGTCATTTTGTTTCAAGAACATATTCTCACAAAGATTGTGTGGTTTTGTCATTGCATTCGGCTTCAGTTTATGGGCCTTCTGAGGAATATGTGATCATGAGAATTTTAAAAAGTTGCGAGGTTAAAGTAATGCTTTCAATTGTTGAAGGCCCCCTAGTACATAAGTTGAAGAAGTGTATCCTCCTGCGTCGCAATCCTTGTTATCGACCATATCTACCAATTTAGTAACAGTTTAGGCCTTGCTTTCCAATTTTATTTTTGTTTCGATACTTTGAAAGATATACAGGGGAAATTCACGGATGAGTTATAAGTCATTCACGCAAGATTTTTCAACTAAAAATCTTGGTATTAGATTTGTGGATGTCGCATTTATCTCTTATTCAACTTTTTCATGCTCGCACGATTTAGAATTTTTTACTCACTTAAATTTAAACACGTTGAAAGAGAAAAAAAGGATACAAATCTTAATTGAAGGAAAACAAAACCATTTATGTAAATGATTATTTCTTTTTTAGACATAATATTAGAAAGTACACGGGACAGTTTTACCGAGTCAGTGACATGGTTCCTTAAGGAATAATCCATAATTTTAAGGATACTGATAATACAAACTACTATAACAAAAATAAAAACATTCATGATAACTATTTTTAAATTTATTTTTATTAAAGATCAGAAGAATAGAACATAAAATTTATTAGGAATTAAAAACAATTACACATATAAGTCCAACTTAGTTGTGGTACACCATTATTGACTTTATGAGACCAGCATATTAAAAGACCCATATCTCGAATTAGCTTAGAACTACTATAGTTTATTTGAAGTACATGGAACATACTTACGAAGACGTCACTTTAACAGAAGTCATGTTACAACTTAAACACCCACATGAAAGTACTCAATTATTGTTCACATGCATAAGAAAATAACATAAACGATACAAGTGAGTATGTAACACCTAGACAACACAAGAGTCATAAGTGCGAAGATTTGGTACCCAAGCAATAGCCTTATTGCCAACAAAATGGCAAACAGGCACAGTTCCAGTCTTGACCTTGAGAACTTCATAAAGCACGACAGGATCCATGCCTCTTGTATCATGGTGGCAAATAGTTAGAGCCTTAGCTTTAGTTCCATCAGAGGCCACCAATGGAACCATATAAGTTGTTGTTGCATTGATCTGGTGGCAATAAAACACAACCTTTTCAAAATTCAGTCTGTGACACATCACAGCTCCTTCTCCAACTTTCCTCACTTCCTCAACAGTATATTGCTCATGATCTTGGGCAAAGGAACTTGAAACCACCTTAATATTCTTCCCAAGCTTTGAAGTGGCGAAACCCATCATTGATTCCAAGGATGCTGCACAAAACTTGCCTTCTCCTTTAGCAGCTGGTCTCCCACAAATCTCATCAAGATTATATCTCTCTGATACTTTTGCTTGTAACCATGCTCCAAAAGGTTGACTTGTTGTTCTTGAGCTCAGCGTGGAAGGTTGAGCATTAGAATGGTTGTGGAGTCCCAGATGCATTATCTTGCGTGGATGAAGGTCATGCTCGAAGAAGAGAGTCCAATACTGCTTCTCTTCTTCCACTTTAATAGGTATGCTGCTTTTGCTGGCTGCAAATACAGATAACAACAACATGCAAATTTTCCTCACCACATGACATTTTAAACTTGATTCACAATTATACGAAATTCATGGGTAAAAAATATAATCATTTTTTTCTCACTAGGAATTCAGAAAACAAATTAAAGATTGAAAACAACAACACAAGAAGCAGAAATAATTGGTGTAACTTACAAGGCCACACTAGATCCTGGAGAGGTTTGGGCACTGGAGTGTTTGGAAAAACAGAATTCCAATAATCTTTCGCGGACGCATCAATTTTTCTGAGAGTTAGCTGCAAGTAAGGTTTAACTTAGCAAATTTGTTACTTATTTTACAATATATGTTTTTAAGGATGAAACAATAATAAAATCGAGTCCAAACTTTACAATATACCATTGTCTGATATGCTTGTTATACTAATTAAAATCATACATTGTTGAAAAGCATGTAAAATGATGAAGCTAGCAAAGATGGATGAAAATGGCTTACGCAAAATAAAGCTAAAGCAAGTAGATGGCCAAACTCCATTTTTGGTATGAAGTGGAGATTATGGAAGCCTATTGAGTGTATATATAATGAATTCAATCCACAATTGCTACCTTCTTTGTAATGAATGCTTGTTATCAATTTTGAAGATGAGAAATACAAAATTATTGCTCTCATCTTATCAATTATGGCAACTATTATTTTTTATTCAATTCTGACCATTTTGCTACCTCACCATGACAAACTGTGACACCCACCACTGCAATCAATAAAAAAATAAATAAAATACACAGATACTTTAAAACATAAACACTTATCTATTCAAAATAATTTTTTATCTGCATTTTTGTAAGATGATAAAGTATTATTTTATAAGAAATGTTTTTATTGTGTTTTTCTTTTCATTGCTTGGGTGTAATAGCATAATCACTTTTACTGAAAACATCATCCCTCACTCACCAATTGTAAGTTTGGTAACTATTATTCAAATCATATAAGTTTTCAAATTTAAACAGTTCCAATAAAACCTATTAATACATAGATATTTGATTCAAGAACATATTTTGTTTTACGTTTTAATTATATGAAAAAAAAAACTAAATTGAGTTATATTTTCAGTTTTTAATGAAGTACACATTAGTTTTTCTTAATTTGTCTTCTAATGAATTGTTCATCTTTTCTTTGTTTTTAATCACACTGATATATTTTTTTAGAACTATTTTAGGAATATTAATTTGAAAAGTGGTATATTTTGTTATTCCCAATTTATGTAAAAGAATATTAAATTGCAGTTGGATGAAGAGAGTAATATTTTCAATAAGAATTTTTTATTAATGGTATAATTAAAATAACTCAACTTATGAACTAATATAAAATACATTTTTAATAGGTTTATTTTTTTTTCATTCATAGTTTTGTGCAGAGACGGAATCACTTAGTCGGTGTGACTCATAAAATTTTGTATATATCATTTTAAATAATATATATTTATTTTAATATTATATTAATCAATTATATTTTGTGAATTATTTGTAGAGGTAATCCTTTGTAATTTGTAAGTTTTTAATATATTTTATTCTTATTTTATTTTTTATATGGTAAAAATGACTTCCAAAATTTTTAGATAAAAAATTTCTTTTTATTTTCTATTATATAAATAATGATATTTAAAAAATATATTTAAACATGTTTGATTTAGTTTTACTTTTTTAATTTTTAAAATAATTTCAAAGATCAATTTTGAAAAAAATATTAATAAATTAGAAGTATAATTTAATATTTTATAATGATAAAAATAAATAATTAAAATATTATTCTTTTAAGTAATAGAACTTCATTTTATAATTAATTACTTTACAATTAACATCATTTGATCCTTTTGTTGTGTGTTTTATTGAATAACATTTTTACTCCTATTTCTTGGTGCAGTTATAATAAATTATTAGAAGGAGCAAACTTATTCTTTCATGAAATCACTTATTTTTAGGGATGACAAAACGGGTCAGGTTTTGTAGGCCGACTCGACAGATTGCCATAATATAACGAGGTGAATTAGTACTTTCAGCTCGTTAGTCTATTTTGACCCTACTATCAAGCATATCAACTCGCAGGGTCAACTCGCAGGACTGGACGAGCTAGCTAGCAACCCGTTTTACTAATAAATTTTTGTTGTTGTGATACAATACAAAGAGTTAAAAAGATAATATATAATATAAAGATTTATGAGAAAAATTCTAAAAGTTCCAATATCTCATAAAGAGAATTAATAAAATCTCAGTATCTCATTATTAAGAAAATTAAAAAAATTTAATTGTTTTAAAATATAATTTATAAAAATAATATATCAATTTATATATATATATATATATTTATTGAATGATTGATAATGATAATTTTATTATTAAATTTATTAAAAAATTAAATTTAAAAATAATAAAATAAAATACAATAAAAAATATGACAGGCTATAGCTTACCCGCTCTTTTACGGGCGGGCCAAAACGTTTTAGCATCCTACTTATTTTTTAAATCACTTATTTTTTTTTAATACCAAAATCACCCTTAATTGTAAGAAAAGAGGTATTTATTTGCTGTTTGAAGTATGTATATTTGCAGCCACACTGTGACTGAGAGCCGCCACCACTATTCCCATCAAACTTGGAGTCTTTTATTCATACATATAAATAGTTTGGTGATTTCAAGAGTTTTGCTTCACAATTTAAGAAATATAATACTTTTATAATTCACTTTCTTTTATATACAACTATTTAGTTTAAGAATCTTTTTATAATAATAATAATAATAATTTTTATACTATTGTTAATGGGAAATCGATAAAGGGATCGAAAAAAATGAAGGAAAGAAAAAAAATCGAAGACCATACGATTGGTAAAAGACATCGAGAATCAAAATCGAGAATCGTAAAAACAAATTTCGATGCCTATTGTTGACGTTAGAATAGTACAAAATTAAAGGGAATCAAAAGCAAAATTTAAGATACTCGATGTCTGAAATCGAGATCGAGGGAGCAGTTAACACACACAGGGAACGTGGGAAACAGTTTCTAAACCGCGACGGAGATCGAAGGAGGAGTAGTTCTATTATACGTAAGAACGTGGAGTGCAGTTTCTAAAACTGTAAAACTAAAGAAACGAGTACGTAGGATCGTGAGGATAGTGGTATTAACCACTCTTGGGAGGTTACTTCAAAGATGCTCTATAAATAGAGCAAAGACTGAAAAGGAGGGGGGAAATTGGCAGAGAGAACAAAAATACTAGTGAGAAGTCTACCGGAGAAACGACGCAATCATGCTGGATTTCCATTTTCATTGACTGCCTTTATCGTTTTCTTTACTTTCCCTAGTAATTTACGTTTATGTTATTTACTTTGATGTAGTTTACGTTCAAGCAATTTTAAGCTCATGTACTGTCGATTACTTGTCATTTACCGATTGTGCAATTTTAATTTCCTGTTGTCTATTTTTCTGCAAAGTTCGATTTTTTGTTTATTTATAATCCTGCAATTTTCGATTCCTTGCCATTTACACTTAATGCAATTTTGAGGTTTCCGCACTTTACATTTGCTGCAAATTAATATTTCCTCGCAGCTTTATATTTTGTATTGCTTTTCGATTTGACATTTTTACTGCTTTCTTCATTTCGAGTGCTTTAAATATAAAATACCAAAAATAGCGCTTTCGATTGTCATTAGGTTACATTAAGACCTGTGGTACTTTCGATTCTCATACATATTTCGATTGAAAGCCATTTGCTAGCCTAAGTAAAAAGAATCTACGTGGTTGGAATTTGGTTAGAACAAAATCTTTTAAAAATCGAAATCGATCAAAATTCCACCAGAAACAAATTGGCGCGCCAGGTAGGGGTTCTATTTGTGTCGAAAAACACAAAATTGGTTAGTTCGAAAGTGTATGAGATTAAGGAGTGGGCGAGTAATAGGAATGAGTCAGAATCCACCAAATAACCAGAGCAACAGTGAGGGTGTGAACGGTCTGAATGGATCACATCCACCAAACACTGGGGGGAAAGGGCATAATGGGAATATGCCTGTAGTATCGATAACCGCGGGTATGTCGATTACTGTGAGTAATGAACAAAGCTCAGGTACATTAGTAAATACTCAAGTAGAGTCTAGTACTGTGATACCAAACAATATGCAAACTATGGGAAACCCCATAACAACATATGCTGGGCCGTATATGAGCGTGAGACCGCCTGATTTTTCGCCTAATTATATAAATGGGGCTGGTACGTCTTCAATACAACGAAATTCGAGATTTAACCTAGGAATGCCTCAAAACTTAGGTACATTTCAAACTCTAGGTATACCGCAAAATTTCGGAGTATCTCCAAATTTAGGGGCGTCTCAAAATTCAGTAACCCCCCAGAATTCAGGGAGTGTGCAGAATTCAGGTACACAACAGACACCTCCAAACATAGATCATAGAGCAAATCTGGATCATGGGAGATATACATTTGATAGAGATTATCATCGATCCAATTTCGATACTATCGAAAATGCTAGTACTGGAATTTCCAGTAACTCATTAGGAGTACTTAGACAACAAATGGATGAAAGAAATTTTGAGATGGTTAATATGTTGTCACAACAGTTGACTACAGTCCTGAACCCATTAGTTCAAAATACTACTACTAGTTTTGAGATATTAGCAGAACAAATGGCCCGTATCGGGGATGCATTGGCCATACCTCGGCAAACGAGAATGGAAAATCATGCCGCTCAGAGCATTAACAAGAACGCTAATATTAATCCCCCTTATTTATTAAGGAGAAATCGACACAATGATCAACATCAAAATCTGGGGAATGAATATCAGCATGTGAGGAATAATGTTTATGGAAATTTGAATGAAGGATTTCAGAACATGTATAATCAAAATAACATGCAGTACAACCACATGCCAGGGCAAAGGATGAACCCTCAAGGAATAGAATTAAGGCCACCCAATCAACCATACTTTGTTTCTCCTTTTCCAAATGCGATTCTCGAGACAGAATTACCTCGAGGATACAAAGTACCTAAATTCACCAAATTTGCTGGAGAAATTGGTGAGTCCACTATCGAGCATGTAGCTCGATATCAGATCGAATGTGGGGACCTAGCTATGAGTGAAGAATTAAAAATGAAATATTTTCCTAGTTCATTAACTAAGAATGCTTTCACTTGGTTTACTTCGTTGCCACTCAATTCGATATATAATTGGTTGCAATTGGAAAGAAATTTTCATGAGCAGTTCTTTAGAGGGGAGACTCAAGTAAGTCTCATCGAATTAATGAATATAAAGAGATACAATCATGAAAATATAGACTTACTCAAATTCCTGAATATGAATTAGTCAGAATGGCCTCCGCAGGTTTAGAATTCTCGATTAGGAAAAAGTTGGTTAATTTACCATTGAATGACATGGCTCAACTAGCTGATAAAGTGAGAAGAGTGGAACAAATCGAATATGAAAAACAAAGGTATAAGAAATTTGAGAAACCCATGAAGAAAGAAAGAGTAGCA